GTTTCCAACTGAATGGCTTTATATCCAGCGACTAGAGCTGCATTTGCCACAGCTGCCAAGGATCTCTGGTCTTCCTTGAGGAGCTGCCCCAATGTTCCATGTCTCTTCAGTCTCTTGATACGCTTTCACAGGGTATTTTAATCTGGCTGAGGAATTTGTGTGACCTGACTATTGTTGTATTTCATTCAGAAATATTTTTAAAATAATTAAACCCTTATTTTCGAAGGAAGCCATTTTAAATGTGTAGTTTAAGGAAGCTCAACACAAATTCATATTTGATAGGGAAATAATCGGTTCGATAAACTGAAGCTTGGGTGTTTCCTAGTTTCTTCATACCATCATCATCGTCATCTTCGTCTGCATTCAACTTGCAGCTCGTTTGTGCCAGTTTTGCTCGTTTACAGGCTTTTACCTGAAACTATTACCTACTTGCCGGCTGGTTCGGTCGATCCCTGCCACGCCCCTCCCCTTTTAAACTTTTTTTCCGCCTCTTTTTACCGTGACTAGTGTCCCTCTTCTTCTGCAATCAAGTGTCGACTGACTGCATCTTATAGTTGCAAGTAAGCTTTTTTTTTAGCTGCTGAACAGCTGCAGAAAGTTGTTCATCTGATTACATATTTATTCGCAATTTATGCATAATTCTATAACAGTTTAGTTTATGCTGGACTGGCTTTAATCATCGGAACAGTATGAAATAACTTCTCGGAATCGAAGATATGCCAGAAAACAGGCCACGGGCAATCCATCAAGGCGGGGACCGCCCCAAAACTAAACCTCGCCAAGTGTATAAAAACTGTCAGGAACTAACATACACTCACTGGAAGAGAAAAAAGAACAGAATAAAACACTTTACCAACCGATAGAGCAAGTTAAAGCTCTTCTTTAAGTCCCCCAACAAACTATTTGCGGGCAAAGAAAAAGATGATGAATCTTTTGTTGTTCGCCGCCAACTCCGAAACCCACTAAAAATGTTAACTAAATTACAGGGGAAATATATGGCCTTAGACGAACAAAAAAAAGAAAAGGGAGGAAAGGGAAAGTAAATGTAACCAAGATGAAATGTGCGGAACTCCAGCAGCAGCAATAACATGTTGAGCAAAAAATTATGATGGAAATGGGGAGCAGATGGAAATAGGACACGAAAAAGTGGGGAAACCTTAGGGATGCGGGGGCATTGACAAGCACAAAACAGTCCTGGCTGTGGCTCAGCATAAAACTAACAAGAAAATTTCTAGGCATACATTCCATTCAGGGCAAATGATGAAACCGAGATCTCACTTCTCGTTTTCTTTAAAATTACGAAAGCCAGGAGCAACTGTTGGAAACTAAATGAGAATTGAGGATAGAAAATGCTTTTAGGCAAATGCTAATCAAACAAAAAAGTTTTTGGAAGGCACTAGTTGTTGAATTTCTAGACATTTTGGCATTAGTAAATGTATGCTTAAGTTAACACTATACAGTTTACCAAACATTTCAAAGTTTACCTTAGTTTTATATATGCGATTTGTTTTTCTAGCTTAACCATAAGCTAATCAATTCATTCCTCAGATTTATTGATTTCTAGTAAATTATATTCGAGTTTTATTTATTTGTAATCTAGCTAACTAAATTAAAGCGTCATTTCCCAGTAGACTACTTTGAATGTTAAGTAAAATGTTTGGTGCTCAGACTCATCCAAAACAAACTTACTGAAATAATGTATTACCCAAAAAAAACTCCCTACCTCATGTCAATGTCAACGGCGATGACAAAGATAAATTCACCCAACACTCAAAAGAAGGGACATCTATCAGTTTGCCTGGCCAGTAATGTCCATTAAAATTTAAATTACACAAAAGTCCACTGCTTTCTTTAAACGTAAAATCATTTTTTTTTGAAAATTTAATGCGGTTCTTAAGATAAAAAAAGTTCCTAGAGCGCAAATGGCGCCAAATTTCGTTCGGCAATCAACTAAATTCAAAGCAAATTGTCCGCACAATGGCCCAAATGTCCGCTACGGGCGACCATCATGAATGTCCTCGAGGATACGGCAAAGCCAACTGCCTAATGCTCATTATTTTGCGCTCGAGAAATTTCTGTCTCGTCACTAATTCATCATTGTTTCGGCACATTAAATCCTTGAACGTCAACGCATTCATTATCTCATCGCATGTGAGCCAAGGGGCTCTGAGCCAAAGACTCTGCTTTTGGCCAACTCATCGCCGGGCTCACATGGCACATGGCTGTCCGTTTGTCCCTCGGTCCCTTACTCTCTGTATGTCATCGAGGCTTCGTCGCCACGGCATGCTTGAGTGATATTAACTGACCGACAATCAGTCAAGGGCAACTGGAGCAGCGGCCAAAGCAAAGTTGGCCAAAAGAGGCTTAGGCCAGATTTTCGGCTATCGCGGCAGCGGAGATGAGACGAAGCATTCATGTGGCTGGCAAGTTGGCCACGAATAGCCCTAGTCATTTCCTCAGATATATCCTGTTTAACCCTCTTTCACCTATGTGGGTTATTTGAATGGAAATAAAATATGATACATACCTACAAGATCTCTTAATATTCCCTTATAAAATAAAACGTATATAAAACATATTTTGCCTTCAAATATTAATTATTTATTTCGTGATAAACACTTTTTAAATTAATTATTGTATTACTTCTAAAGAACATACTTAAGATTTTCAATTTTCTTATTTTAAATTTCTTATTGTGCAAAGCACATATTTCCAACCTAATATTTAGGTGCTTATCATAATTTACTGTATTGTTAGTTCTGCCTTACCAAAACTTGTTAAGAACTGGGTTAATATCCCCTTTCAAAGGGCCAATGGTATGTGCGGCTTGCATGTTAATTGCTTTCCAGGCTAATCGAATTTTTTGCCTGTCATTATGAGTAATGTGTCTGGGATGCGCACATAAAGCAATTTGTCGAGAATATTGCGGGGAATGGCAAATTGGTCTAAACGCTGGGCAATTTAAACTATTCTGGGTTTTCCGACACACCGGCATAAACAGTAAAACCGTTTAATGTAATCCACCGTTGAATCAGCAAACCCATATAAAAATAGTCGAGAAGAACATGCCGCCCCAACATAATCGCACATGTCATCTGGCCTTAATTTCGCATGCAAACAAAACATGATTACAAATGGCCAACAAGCTGAACAAAAAACATTTAACATGATGGTGAAAAAACCTGATAAACCAAAGTATGCAAATATTTTAAATAGCGAAAGTTAAATGCCCTAGGGGAATAATCTTCTTTAAACATTTCTACGTTTATATTCATAGGGTTATTGAAATTCATTGAATACGTATCTGAATTTGTTATCCTGCAAGTTATTGGAAGTTATTAAAGGACTTTAGGAGTACTTTTAGGAATAAATACAAAAATTATTCCAAGCCCTAAGCATTCTTATTAATGGCCTAATGCATATTCCAATGTTTAATGTAGCATTGTTTGAAATTCAAGCCATGTCACGCTGATTAGTCATCGGTTGGCCTCCTTGGGGACGAACATCATCTCGTAGTTGTCGTGGCAATAAATTCAGGGCATCCGGTGGGGGTCGCCAGAAAAAGTCATATTACATCGCTAATTTATGTAGCACATAAGTTAATTTCTGTTTGTCTGTTATTTGTTGTAATTAGTCGACGTTCAAGCCGTTGTCCCAGGGGCCATTAAAACTCGTCCCTGGCCGCCGGAAAAGCTCCAGAACATAAACAAACGAAAACTGTTGCTTCCGCTGGCTGCGTGTGAAAAAAAAGAAGTGGAGATACTACGGCTACACGTATACATATATATACATATACGAAAAGGGATGGCCGTAGTCCGGGCTAATTATTTTGTCGGTCACCCAAAGTTCATAGTTCACATGCCACAAACAGCGGAAAGAAGGGGCAACACCGCCGCCCACTCGCCGTTCCGTTTGTATAATTTTTATTATCAGGCCAAGTAATATAAACTTAATTAATACCCACGTCGGCCGGCGGGTCAGCCTTTGATTCATGGCCTGCACTTGCGGGGCCCGGCTTAAATGCAATAATGAATGTGGCGACGCGGAATAAAAATAAAAGCGAATGTACAAAAATGTGCAAAGTATGGCCGCACAAAGTGTGAAGGCGCAAAGGTCGAGCGGCGGGTCAGCGCCCAAAGTCAAGGCATTAACGACACCGCCCTTTTTGGCACCTCCGCTCTTAAAAGGGTATGTTTCGGTAACACAGTGGTACCTCCATTAGAGAAGTCTTAACAAATTTTAGTGAACCTTAATAAAAAACACTTGTATTATCCTATAATATAATAATAAGTAGGTATTATTTAAAATATGAAGAAAAATATTATAGGTAGTATATTATAGGTAGTATAATATATAAGAACTACTATCTTTCAAATATTCAATTAAGTTAACAACCTCTCTTAAAACACATTTCAGTTGCACAATAATTCAACATATTCACACCTTTTATAAAAATGCATAACATCGCGCACACATTATTCCGATCGCACTACAAATCCCCGCATTCGAGTGTGTCAAGAGCAGAAAAAAATCACTAACCAAACACGGAAATCCCTGCGGATAACGAAACAAAATCTATTATTTTAAGTTCTTCATGTGCAGGGCGACCTGCCTTTACCCGGTTCCCTATCCAATTCCCCATTCAACCGCCCGCGTGGCAAGCTCGCACTTATCAACAGCTTACCGAATAATGCCAATGGAATCGCTTTTCGTTCAGGCTGCATTCAGTGCTGGCAAAATGGGTACATTTTATATAATAAAAAAATAATTCACAAAAACTATAGCATAAAAATATATATTACATTAAAGAAAATGCATGGATAGAAAAATAAGAGAAAGTATGATAATAATAATTGGAAATATAGTAATAAATACATTATTTGTAAACCTGCTAAATGTAAGATGGCATAAAATTCTTTTTAAGTAATTTTAAGCTTCTTTCGATACAAGCTTTTATTTTGCATTGTTTCTGAGCTTCTCTGGTTGCATTGTCCTTGCAGGAATGGCGCCTGTGCCCGCGGAAGGACTGCACCTGTCCAACCTCTCCGTCCCGCGCATCATCGACGTTGCCCAAAAGGCGAAGCTCTTCTGCAGCTACGCGATGGGCAATCGGACGCTGAACTCTGTCAAATGGTACAAGGATGGCCAGGAGTTTTTCAGGTGAGAAACAGCCGACTGTGTCTGTGGCCGTTGAGCAAATAAAAATTGGTACCTCCGCCGCCGTCGAAACCCAAACCGTAAAAATATTTTTCGGCATTCAGTTTGAAATAATAAAATGTCGCCAGGGAGCCCCGGAGATTGGGAGTTGCGAAATGTGCCGGCGCATTCATGCAGATTTTATGGCGCAAATTGAAAACGTCATGAAAGTGCTACACTGTCCGCAACAAAGTAAAGTCCCCCCTCCAACCCTTCCACCTCCTTAAAAACCCCCGAAAATAAAAACAAAATAATGGAAATGGGCTGGGTCGCTTGAAAGTGTCGCAACTAATTTAAATGCTTAATTGAAATGGATTTTTATGGCCGCCTGCAATTGCGGCCAGGTGACGCTGCCATATCGGGCCCAAATATGTGCGAAGAGGGCTTTTTATTTAACTGGCTTAATTGTTGCACATTGCCGCATATATCCAAAACGCACAGGATCCGAGGGACTCCATCCGGGGCTTAATCGAGCGCAAAAATTTTTAACAAAGGTGTGTGTGCCCCGGCATCACAGTTCTTTTTTAAATGTTTTGGTTATTGATTTTTAAAGCTCGCTACAAATATGGCCATGTCAGGCGACAAAAAATGATTATTTATGCCAAATATCAGAACCATTTAACGGCTTATGGACTCTGCCAAATGGACTGACACGCCCATTTCGGATAGAGCACACAAAAGAAAACAAGGATTTACAACTCAAAAATCTTTATTTTAGTAAAATACTTAGTTTGAAGAATATTTTGAAAGGTTTTTGAATATACTAGTTTTTATTATTGATTTTCCATTACAAAATTTTGTATTTTCAATATTTGTATATTTTAGTTTACTAAAAAACTGTTAGGAAAATTAAAGTTTAAACTGATTGATGGTATAAAGTATTACAATGTGTGAGAATACAGTTTATTTAACATCTTTTTCCGCATACTTCCTTTTCACGGAAATAATAAAAAAAAGTGTGTTTAAATCCATAAATTTAATTTTCGATCACATTTTGCGGCTCACTGCACTTCCCGAGCAACGCCCCTGATTCAATGTAAATTTGAAGCGTTTTGGCGACCACATTCAATTGGCATGACCAGTTCCAAGTTATTGTTTTTGACATATTCGCGAGGGGCGTGGCAGCTCGAAACGATTGTGGCAGAAGGGGCGGATTCTGGGGCTGGCTCCCCAGTAATTTACTGCTGTAGGCAGTTGGCTTTTATCAATTACGCTTTTGTGTGAAGGTTTTGATTGTGCGGTCTGCACTCGGCTTCAATTATTCATGTGCATTTGACACTGCGGTTGCTTCCATCTGTAACAAAAAACGCCACAAAAGATACACGCAATTCGAGTGTAATTCTAAATTTGTTCGCCCGTGCTTTTCTAATTGTTAAATTGAGTGTTTACGGATAACAAAACGTGCTAACAATTCCTTTGGATTTTGCTTTCACAAAGATCTCCCTCAAAATTATAAGTTAATTGTGGTATTTGTCATTGATATTCCATTGTATAGAATACAATTAGCTTTATTAACCCATTCAAATATTTAAATATTAAATTATTTGTATTATTATTACTTAATTGGAATTTACACCAGGTAAAACGAAAATGTATCCAACATTTACCAAACAATGCTATTTAATGTTTAGTTACTGGTATTTGTATAATATTTAAATACCTTATTAGAAAATTCATATCAATTTATTGATTCAAAACGATTTTCTCAACCGACACGCTAATTGCTGTAATCAAATGCAACATTCTCTACACACGAACATGCATAAGAATGGAATTTGAATTCGATTTGAATTTGAATTTTATTTGTGCTCTGAGGAGATTGCGGAGCTCAGTAGAACTGCATATTATTCATAATAAAATCGACAGCCGGCCAAAATGTGGATACAAATCGAAGGGCGCTGCAGCTGCAGAAACTGAAATAAAAACCGAAAAAAAATATTTTTACCATGATTTTCCTCATCAATATTTCATGGTTTTGGTTTTGCGCAGCACTCGAACTCGAGCAGCCATCTCGCCCTCTCTTTCTAATGTCCTATTGCCGTCTCCCTCCTTGCAGATACTCGCCACTAACACCGCCGACAACAAATTGGTTCCCCGTTAAAGGTGTCGCCATCGCCGACGGTTCGCCGCATTGCAATCAATTCATCTGCAACGTGGAGCTGGAGAAGCTCAGCGCCCACTCCTCGGGTCAATACAGGTGCGAGGTCTCCGGCGACGCGCCCGAGTTCAAGCTGATCGATCAGACCGCCAATATGACAGTCGGAGGTAGGTCCACCAACAATCCAATCACTATACCAGTCCCGTAAATTTAAGCCATTACAAGTTATTCCTAACATGAGCTTGGGTTGTTATCCTTCCACCCATGGATTACAAATTTTATTTTACTATTAAATATACCATACAAAATTTGAATGGATTGGAAAATTTTAATGAACAGTCTGTACACATATAATTTTTGTTGATTCATTAATAAGTTTTAAAAGCACTCCCGAAAGTATTTATGATTTGCACAAATACTATAGACAGTTTAAAAAGGTGGTTTAATTTAAATTCACTTGCAGGCTTTCTGGTCAGAAACATTTATGATGAATATAAAAATTAATAAATATATAAATATGCACATATTATGTAATATATAATCATTTATCTCTGTTAATAATAATAAATTTTAATTTTTTTATATAATAGTTTTATTTATTTATTTTTGTACTTGAAAACACTCCTTCAATTTAACACTTCCTCAATGCCTGTTTCACTCCACTGTGCAATTTTTGTTGCTGTCTTTGATTTATGTTTTGCAACAGAAAGACAACAAATTATGTGCAATTTTGCAAACACTTAATAAAATTATAAATGGTCCTTGCACGGCCACCAGAATTCGGGGTCGTGAGTTCACGCGGCAACTCCTTTCCATTTATCAATGCCACACTGGCGGAGTGTTTTCCGGGCGGATTCTGCGGGGCGAATCACGGATTACCGGATAGATGGGTGCTGCATGAAGAATGGGGAGAGGGGATGGGGAAGGGGGAAGGCACGGGGAGCGGGTGGAGTAGGCGCCGAAGGGTCGGGAACCTAGGCCAGTAGGCAGTTCAAAAGGGCGTCGCATAAACGCTGGAAAATTGTGACACGCGTCAGCCATTTGTATGAGTAATGATTGTTAATAAATCCCGACAACCATCCCGAAAACGCTCAGCCTGTACAGTGGGCATCCCGGCCGAACGCCCCGCGTTGCGCCACCTGCCGCTCTGCTGAACAAATTCAACTCAATTGTGAGTTTTGTACGAATCAATTTATAATCTACAATGCGCGGTCGTTTGCCGTTGTCACGTGCTGGGCCTAAACAACAACAACAACAAGAACAGCAACAACAAATGGCACAGAATACAACAAATATATAGCAGGGGCCAACTCGTTTGCGGCACTTGTAGTTGGGTTTGTTAACGTCAACGCGGCACCATCGCACCACCGCACCACCGATCCACCGAACCTTTTAGCCACCGCACCGCATCGAACTGCCAAAAGCCGCTGGCAACGCATCGCCCACCATTTTGATTTCGCTTTGATTGGCAGCGTACATGACGATGATTCCTCCCAGCACCCAACACTCTGGCACACACTGCAAAAAAAAAGGGCCATGTTTAAAAATAACAATTAAAATGAGTGATTTAAACTAATTTAATTTAAACTAATATGCATTTTTGCCAGAAAATTTTAGGATGGTATGGCTTTAATAAAATAAAAATTAAAATAAAGAATTTTATCAATTTCAAAAAAAAATGTATAAACAACTCATCTTCAACTTTTTTTAAATATTTTATTGTAAGGCCCATTAAGACGAAAATATTAGTGAATATCTGTTTAAATTGCAAAGAGTACAAAAATACTCTTCAAATTAGGTTGTAAAAATGTTTAAGTTCCTTTTTTTTTTTTATTACCCATGTTAGCATTGGTTTTGAGGGATATACAATATTTTTTTAGGTGTAATAATGCCCCTTTTTGCCCCTTTCTGTGGTTGATTGCGGCCAGAAGGATCCGCCAGCCAGACAGAGAGTCAGTCAGACTTTCGGTCGCTGTGCTGGCTCTACTTTGAAATTCAAATCAATTGATTTTGGTCCAAATGGAAATGGCCTGCTTATGTCTTTTGTTTCTAGTTTCTATGCGGCTCAAAATGATTTATTTGTCGCAATTTCGCCGCTCAGCGATTTGTCTCCTTTTGTGGGGGGCCGTACTCCACATCGATGCTAAATTGTTGGCCCAGGGCTTCGAGAATCGAGTGGGTTTGGGTTTGGGTTCGGTTTCGAGTTCGAGTTGCTCGGGTTCTGTTCGGTTTGTGGGCGTCTTATTTATTGACGTTACTTTAAGAGATATTGATTTGCATAATGCGCACTTAGGCATTTGTTTACGCGTAACAATCAAATTTGAATTCGCATTTTCGTATTTGTATTGCGTCTTTAATTGGATGTTTGGCTGAGGGCAGACTGTTTGTGTGCTCGCTATTTGCATGTCAATTTGACTTTTATCTATTCAGCGTACTTAAATAGACAAAGTAAGCCATGCTCAAGTGGTTGTACATGGAAATCCCACTGGCTAGATTAAGTGCCAGTCTGCAGGACGAGCTTAGGCAACGAGGATGGGTTTCCTTTCGCCCCCGAATTTTCCCCGCCCACCCACAACCCGATAAGTTTTCCCTTGCTTTTTGCCACAATACTGTTCTCTCGATTATTAGTTGGCATTTATTTATGGTTTCTTGATTTATGGTGATTGATTGGGAACTGTGAAACATTGAAATGCATCAGTAGAAATGCATAAACCCAATCGATTCCTAATGGAGTTTCATGACTGAACTATAGAATGGTTTCCTTTTAATAAGAGAGTTTAATGGGGGAAAGTCTTTAATGATTTACCTACTTTTCAATCGGCTTTAAAGTGCAATACGATAATAAAAAATATTTAAAATATAACTAAATGGCCTTTTATAAACAAGGTTTGTTTGTTTACATAAAGTAAATGACATTAAAGTATAATACTCGAAAAAAGGTTATAAAAATTCATACAAATATGAAACTTTAAATATGTTTTATCTGTTATGCATACAATTCAAATAAAACATTTTTTGGGATAATAAATAAAAGAACAGAACCTATAATCATAGGGTGCATTGTCCAACGATCGGCGATTGCCTTTGGCAGATGCCAGCAACAGTGGCTAGTTGGTTTTGTCAGTTTAATTTATATGTAAGCCGAAAGAAAAAACTAGCAAAAAGAATACAATGCCACAAGGGGCAACAGCTAAACAAAATAAAGCCAACCAGCCATGGCATCAAACTTCATCAACGAGATAGCGGCAAAGTTTAAAGTCCTCTTCAGGCAGAACAATGTGTCCGTGTGCGGGAAAAGCGGGAAAAGCAGGAAAATGCGGGGAAAGCGGTTGGAGAGTGTATGTGTGTGTGCGGTTAAAGGGGGAATTGGATGCACGTAGTTTTAGCTGGTGTCGCCAGTTTTTTGTTTCAATGAAGGCGAAGCTGTTGACAGACCAACAATCGACTTGGGAATTTTGTCACTAAAGTGCCATCGCCATCGTAACCACCTTAAAAACTTTGTCACAACAACATCGGCCCGAGAGGATGCGCTGTAGCTCGATTTTCAAACAGCCATCGCCCAGGACACTTTGATGATGCCCGAAACAGGACCGGGGATCCATGGGCACACGGAAACACGGGAAAACAGGATCAGGCCCGGGGGTTCGAGGTTTGCTCCAAACTTTGGCCGGGCAAATATTTTGTCGCTTAGCTGCGTGCCGTGTGTCATCACACTGATTAACTTTGCCAAGTTTGCACAGCTCAGCAGTGGGCCAAAAGCGGCCAGGATATGCCAGGATACGCCGGGACACGCCAGGTCATACAGGCGTATGGTGCGTCGAAACACTGGCCGCAAAACGGCGACTGAGCCGCACTTAATTACTTCGGAGATTTGCCGCATTTTTAGGGACAAGCTGCTAACGTTTTTTTTGACTTTGTCACTGAAAAAAAATCTAGGTGAGGAATTTTAATTGAAGTCAATTTGTTTATATAAATTAGAACTTCATTCATTTGGTAACATATTTAAAATAAATATTTAAGCGCGCTTGAACCTCATTTGCTTTTACCCTTTAAGCAGGGAACATAATAATACTACAATCATGTACTTTTCAAACATTTTCTCCATATGTTTACACATTTTTCTGTGACCAGTTTTTCATGTCCCCCTCTAAACTTGTGACATTTTAATGCGGGGGTTATCATTCGAGGTTAGATTTGCCTTTAAAATAAACACGCTTCTGAAATTGGTTACACCTGTCCAGTGTGGAAGTCCTCAACTTGTTTTTTGGCTCGTTTAGCTTCGTTTAGCATTCCAACAACACACAATTTTCGCCCCCCGAAAAGCGGACTTCTCTTTGTGTTTTTGGTTTTCCGGAGGGGGTTTTCCCCTCTCCGGCGGTATGTGTATTTTTTCAATCTTGTTCCTGATGCTTTACTGGTACTTGGGCATACTACATAGCCATTTTTGGTTTATTTACCCTAGTTGATTGCTTTGTTTTCGTTGAATTTTCATTTTTGCTGCTTTTGTTTTGCCCGCAATGCAAGTCACACAATTGGGGGCGGTGAATGGGCAAAAAAGGGGGCGTGCCACCAGGCACAACATGGCCACAATCATCAACTTCAACTCCGGATTCCGTCCGTCAGTCCCTCCCGTCGACCACCACCCGTAAGTTGTACTTGAAACAGGTCAGAAACTTTCCACCAAAGTGGTTTGTATTAAGTCAATTAAAAAGTTTACAGTCCTGCTGACTGCCCGACTTCTGATTCCCCACTCTCCCCATTCCCCCTCTCCTCCACTCCCACCACTTCCATTGTCTCTGGAGGCCTTGGGGGTCCTTAGCATATTTCACAAATTCTCCACAACAACATTCATTTGGACTCGGGATTTGTTGTTGCCTCTGTGGTCTTGGTGGCGAAGGAAAAGGGGGGCCTACGCCATAAACTAAATTACGCTTGTTTTCATCAAAAAACTTTGTCCTGGGCAATTATTTGTTAAGATTAATTAACACTTCAAATAAATATTTGGTGTTGGCGTGTCGGTAATTGTCTAAGTGCCGCCTGTACTTTGCCATATAGCATCCATTTCTATGGAAACTAAGCTCGGATTTCAGTGGGACTTTGGCCATTCTAATTGGGATAAGTTTGGTGCCCAAATGCCATTTTGCATTTGCCGGCAGAGTTGGACACAAAAATTTAGTTCTGCCAACTGAAAAATAAAATGAAACTTTATGCACCTCGGGCAAATGGACAATAATGCATTTGACATCTTTAATCAGAGGGTTTTTATTTTAATGGGAGTAAAATGGAAATTGTTGGATAAAAAGAATGCATTTCTTAAAAAAGCTTTAAATATTTAATTTACTTGAAAATATTTCACAGTGCTTCCCAAATTGGATCCAATAATCTCGGGCGTGCGACACGCCTACAAATATCACGACTATCTAGTGGCTAATTGCAGTTCTGAAATGTCCAGTCCAATGGCCAAGTTAATGTGGTACATTAACAACAAAACGGTAACTATATAAAAAGTTATATAAATTATTGATTTAAATGGTGTAAAAAAATACAATTTCATAAAGTACTTCCCAAAATTCTTTGAGTGTATCAAGGCGACCTCATTGCAAATTTCGGGAAAGTAAATTATGTGTTTTGGCCCAGCCACATGGACCAAAACCGCTATCGCGGTGTGGTTTTAGTCAGTCAGTCAGTCTCTCCATCCTGGTCATCGAACTTGTCCAAATGTTGACAGAGAACTGGAGCAGTAGAACGGCTGAAAGTCACGCCCGCATGCGGTTCACAATTTGGCTTTTAAACCCTCCGCTTTCCATTTCCATTTCCGTTTCCGTTTGCTTCCGGCCACAGGCACCTGGGCACAGTTTGCTACCACAAATCAACGAAGTCTCACGCAACGCCGACGGCTTTCACCTGTTCGCCAGCCACCTGCAGCTGCGGCTCCACCTGGACGACCAGCGGTTCATCAGCAAGAGCGAGATGCTCGAGCTCCGCTGCACGGCGGACATCATGGGACTGGCGGCGGTGCGAAGGGAGAATCGGGTGAGGACCACCGTCCTGGCGCTCAAGGATGCCGGCACCAAGCAGCGGCTCACAGAGAACGGTTCCTGTATTACAGGACGACCAGGTGAGATAGGGTTAAAAAATATAATAAAAAAAGGTACAAAATCCAAAGAGTTATTAATGCAATTTTAGTAGTTCCAAATTATTTATATTTATATTTAATTTGTTGAATTTTAGTTTCTTACAAGCTTTCAAGTTCTTAATTTAAATTATAACATCTAAGTTTGTTACTGTTACCAAGCAAGTTTTGTATATACAATTTTTTTAAATCACAGTTTCGAATTTAAATATCTTTATTAAACTCTGTTAAGGAAATATATTCATATTTTTCCTCTTAAGATTTTGTTCAAACCATATTAATTTTCTGACTTGATTTAATTTTTTTTAGCATCTCTGGCCGCCTGGCTTTTGAGCCTCGTTCACATTCTGCGCTGGCACAGCTCCCAAAGTTAGTGGCTGGCATTGACTGGAGCTCTTTTTGTAGCCTAAGTATCCGGGATTTGTCTCCAAGTGCACACACTCTAAATAAAAGAATATGAAAACAGTCACGGGCGAAAAGTAAACCGAGTGATTCGCACCATTTTCGAGCCAAGTGAAAAGTTAACAAGCCAAGGCAGCAACAGTTGAATTTGTATATAGTCGAAATCGAATTAGTTTAGGTCCGAGCAGGAAGCCCAGCCATTTCCTACATAAGTGTAATGCAACATTTATTTATGTGTGAATAAGCCATCGGAAATGATAAAAAAATGAATCAGCACAGAGAAACATAAGTTAATATATAGGTATCTAAACGTAAAATTTGCTACCAAATAAAATTATATGTCAGAATTATTTCAATAGAAAAAGTAAATTCGAATATCAACAAATTTACACATGAATATTTGAGCACAGAAAAAGGAACACACACAATCAATGGCAAGTAAACTTAATTATTGTATGTGAATTGTTAATTGTATTAAATGATGTATGCGAAATAAATAAATACAAATAAAAAGACTAATGCAAAGGTACTTTTTTGTGATGGTAATAAAAAAGTGGATAAAATTAACATATAAGTTTTTATTTCGCATGGATTTGGATTATATTTATATTTTAGAAAATTATACATAAAATAACATAGTTTTTTTGATTAAATATATTTATGGCGACTTATAACTCCTTTTGCAAGAGCATGGTATGGTGGTTCCCTTGGCCTTGGAAATCGCTCTCTGTAATGCAGACCTAAACTTCCCAAATTAATTTCGGATTTAAAGGAATCCCAAACAGGATGGATATAGTCATTATCCTTGTTTATATCCACCTTCTTGATTTTGTAGTGGTATTCTCGATTTCTTGGAAGGATCCAGCAGCAGCAAAGGAAGCTCATTGACATCGATAAACGAAATATAATCAGATAATGATTTAAGTCAGAAGTTTCCGCTTGAGTCAATATTTCTTTTATTAGACATCCTGATGTATCCCAAAGAAGTATCAGAGAGAGATAGACTAATACTCCGTGGAATAATACAAGTCTTATGAGTTGATTAGTTGATTTCAACTGATTTCTAATAATCTTTAGTGGTCCAACTTCACGACAGTATATGTGGATGGCCGATAAAAATATCACCGAACTTAAATCAGGATGCACACATCTAAATGGTTGCCAAAGAAGCTGGTGAAGATGCATCATCTCAATTAAAATAAGTATCCCAATGTTCAAAAACTCGTAATAAAATGTACGCCAGTGCATTGTTAATTTACAAAACTACTTAAAATTTTGCAAGAAAAAAAGATTTCTTTAAAACAAGTGAAAGATAAGAAAAAGGCTTCTTTGTCAAAAAAAATTGAGAAAATGTTTAGCCTGATCATGAATTTAGTAAATTAATAAATACTCCTTTATCTTTTAAGTGCTCCTCTATTTTTACAAATTTGTTGGGTGTCTCTCGAAGAAGGGACAAAAAATCTCGATTCGCATGCCTTCCTCAACCTAATCTGAATTCCCCAAATCCAATAGGCAACCATTTCCTTTCCTGCAGTCGTTTACCTAACTTATGGCAAACAGATACAAACAAACTTAAACAGGAAAAAAACAAGAAAGGAAAAATGCCAACAACGAAAAATTCGATTTAGCATCCCCTCGGAAATAAATATAAAACCAAACACTTTACAGGGCAGTGAAAAATATTCAACGCATTAGGGCAAATCCGGGCTAAAATATGCAATGGCCAATGGCCGCCGCAGGTAAAAATGACAGGGGGAAAAAATCAGTAGCTAAAATAACAAGAACAAAAACTGTCAGGCATTGACCGAAAATTATGCATAAAATTGCCCTGGGCTACGGGAAAAATAACAACAACAACAACAACAGCAGCAACGAAAAATTGGAGCAAACAAAGATAAGTTCCGCCGTCTGTTGGTTTGGGCCCGACTTGAGCTCCATCTCCAGCTCCGGAATCTGGGAATCCGGATCCGGATACGGCTGTGCACCCCGACTCCGTCGATTTGCCGCGGGCACATTAAATGACGGAAGTAAATAAGCTTGACAAATTTCCACTCATCATTTTTGCATTAATTCAGCCTCCTTTTTTTCCCTGGCCAAACCGACAAACCAACAGCCAAGAGACACGGGCACTGCACAAAAAAATGTCCTTTGATTAATCAAAAAATTTACCACCGCCAGTGGAATGGGATGAAACAACAACGTCACAAACAACAACAGCCAAAAAAAGAAAAAAAAAAACAAAAAAAAAAGGGAAAGCAAACCCAACAAATTGCCAAAGAGGCGCCGGCGGTGCTCGGAGTGATTTTTTGAGTCCAGGACGAGGCGCCAAAGGAAAACCCCAACTTACCGAAAGGAGAACTGGGCGCAGTTGCTCGGAAATCTGCACTGAGAGAAATACTACTACTACTATCTACTATCTAAATGATTTGATTAAAAGGGTACTTTCAAACCTTTTATTCACAAATACCAATTCTTTCAATTACAAAAAGGAAACAATAAGTTAAACAAATACAAAAAATAATAAATTATTTTAATTAGCAGGCTAAATTAGTCTCACGTCAAAATTTCAACATCTAATAGCTTTTCTAATCTACATATAGTATAATATTTCGCAAAAATGGTAATTAGTTGATAAGCAATGTAGATTAGCAGAACCTTTAAGCTCACTAAATATTAATAAACTATTTGGATTAGATTAAAAGGAATGTAAGTTGCAGTCCCGCATAGATGCAACTATTAAATTAATCGAAGGACATTTTCCGAGTGCAGAGGAAAAGGGCCACGGACTTCGGTTTGGGAATATACAGATAGAGATGGCAGCAAAGGAAGATTTCACAGATTTTTGCACGCGATTTGTCAGCCCGACATTTCCGGCAACATCACCCTGGGCGGGAATTGGATTTAAGGTGTTTTTTTATTTTCACTTCTTATTCCGTGTATTTTTTTTTGGCTGCCACAAAACGAGCGACAGTCCAAAATGATTTAGTAAGTCACGTGGCCGCGTAACTGTAAATTGCCTCATCCGGGATTTTCAGTTCAGGTGTGGGTTCCGTTTTCCAAGTTGTGTGCCACAAAGTGTCACCGTGGTTGTGCCCGGCTCTTATTTTCTTTGAGTTTTCCTTCGTTTTCCTCCTCACCAGCCAAACGTTTTTTCACCGAATTTCCGCGAAGAAGTACACACTTTTTGACCGCAGGCTCTGCCAGGACACGTACAAAAGACAAGGACTGATGTTTTGGGATGCGAACAGATAACAGTCATTCCGAAAACTCCTTCTAGATCGCATCCTTTGTAATAAAAAGCATACTACAATTTAAAAGCTAGCTATACATTTTATTATTTCATAGGCTATAACAGATCGCATTACTTTTAACGCAGAAATTGTAAATTATGTGTATATAATTGTGAAATTATGAGAAAATGATTTAGTATATTACATATACATTGACAATGTGATTCACCAAAATAAAAGGTATTGATAAGATAAGTAGGGAATCCATTCCCCTTTTTCGGAAACCGAAGATAAACAAAATGTTTGGCGAAACAGCTGAGATTGGTTGTGAAATGTTGCTTATCGCTATCATCCGAAGTCAGTGTACACATATTTTAAATATAAGGCACTGAACGCGATTGCACATTATCAGTCAACAGCTAAAAATCGAGCGAAATGGTTCGCAAACCGAGTCAAATTTGTTTGCTGGCGATAGCCTTTGCTGCTTTTATAAGTGCCTCCCATGGAGCAAATATACTCGGTCTGTTTACAAGTTTGAGTCCCTCGCACTTGATCATCCAAATGTCGGCGGCCAAAGTTCTGGCTGAAAGAGGGCACAATGTAACCGTAGTAACGATTCTGAAACCTGTGGTGACCCACAAAAATATAAATGTGATTCAAGTTCCCCTCAGCAAAGAGGAGGAAAAACAAATGAGCGATGCAATTGGCGAGATGTCGAAGAACGACAATAGCTATATAGCTTTATCCCTATTCAAGATGTCCGCTCAAATGGACTTCATGGTCAGGAAGAACGCGGAAGCCCTGATGGACGATCGAGTGAAGGATCTGCACCTCAATAAAGGCAACAAGTTCGACCTTGTGATCTCTGGATTCTTCATGAACGACTTCCAAATGGGATTTGGAAAAAGGTCAACGCTCCTGTAATTGTCCTGGCCACAATGCCGCCCAATCATTTGCTGAACCCACTGATTGGTAATCCTCAGGAGGTCCTACAAGGCGTATCCTTTCCACAGCGCTTGGGTAGCTACGTTACAAGCCTTGCATTTACGCTTTTCGCTCACCTAACTGAAAAACGTAATCGAAACTGGTATAAGTAAGTGGAACCCTATTTGAATATAGAACATATAAAACGTATTTATTTATTTGCTATTCCTTTTCCAGGAAACTTTTTGGGGATGATCCCTCTATGCCGGAGTACTCGGAAATTATCAAAAATACTTCCTTAGTGTTCTTTTCTTCCCACGCTCACAGCGAGGGACCCATTAGACCCAATGTTCCTGCTGCCATCGAGATTGGAGGCATTCAAATCAAGGACAAACCGGATCCTCTTCCACAAAACATGGAAGAGTTCCTCGCCAATTCCACTGATGGAGCCATTCTCCTCTCCCTGGGATCCAATGTCAAGGGAAGCCACCTAAAGCCAGACACCGTTGTCAAGATGTTCAACGTGCTCTCGAAACTCAAGCAAAGGGTCATCTGGAAGTGGGAGGATCTGGAGAAGACCCCCGGAAAGTCGGACAACATCCTGTACTCCAAGTGGCTGCCACAGGACGACATCCTGGCTCACCCTAAGATCAAGCTGTTCATTAACCACGCCGGAAAAGGTGGCATTACTGAGGCTCAATATCACGGAAAGCCAATGCTCTCGTTACCTGTTTTTGCTGACCAACCTCGAAACGCAGAAGCAATGGTCAATAAGGGTTTTGGTCTAACTTTGAGCCTTCTTACTCTGGAGGAACAACCGTTTCGAGAGGCAATTCTAGAGATATTATCGAACCCTAAATACGCAGAGAATGTGGAGGCATTCTCTTCACTCTACCGCGATCGTCCTATGACTGCCAAAGAATCAGTGATCTACTGGACGGAGTACGTAATCCGCCACAAAGGAGCCGCTCATCTTCAGAGTCCTTTGGTTCAAGTGAATTTCGTTGCCGCCAATAACATTGATGTTTATTTCCTTCTGACTGCTGTACTAGTAACTATTATTCTGCTGTTAACAGTTCTAGTTAAATTTATATGTAAAAAATGTACTTCTAAGCCTAAGAAAGAGAAAAAACAATAAAGTTTCTTAATTCGTTTTAGAGTGAAATAAAACTATAACAAAAGGAAGTATTAAAAACTAAATGTTTATTGATGACAAAAGTCTGCCCATCACTCTAAATTTAAAGTGGAATTCGCAGAAAGCTAGACATCATAATTGCTTGCACTTACGCGATGACTACAAAATTGTATATAATATTAGCGTGGGAACTCTGTTGATATAAAGTTAGATAACGCTTATCAAATAGATGAGCATACGTGACACCCAAGGTAATTTTGATAACCTTAACTATTTTGTTGATTCGGCTTATCAATGTCTTTGTTAACTTTCAAGGCGTTCAACTTTTAGTTGTTCGGTAATCATGAATAAGTTTTTTTATTTATTAAATATTTTCTTTATTTATATTTATTAGCGTGGGAACTCTGTTGATATAAAGTTAGATAACGCTTATCAAATAGATGAGCATACGTGACACCCAAGGTAATTTTGATAACCTTAACTATTTTGTTGATTCGGCTTATCAATGTCTTTGTTAACTTTCAAGGCGTTCAACTTTTAGTTGTTCGGTAATCATGAATAAGTTTTTTTATTTATTAAATATTTTCTTTATTTTTTTCAAAATCGGCGAGCAAAAGGGATCACGATAGGGATCAAGGGATAACCAACTGCAAATATGTTTATAATAAAGACAACAATTAAAAGAAAATATAAATGTAAATTATTTGTTGTTTTATAAGTTTATTGATTTCTTTTGCTATTTTATGTCATTATGACAGAGTATTTTGACTAGCAGATGAACTTATCAGGCCATTTAAAGCCTTCAGTGCGTTTTTTGCTTCTTTGACTTTGAGATGAACTTTCTGTAAATAAATTGAACCACCACTTTGAACAGCAGTAGAAGTGTAATTAGAATGGCGGCCAACAGGACATAGACATCTATGTTATTGGCGGCAATAAAGTTCATGTGCACCAAAGGACTCTGAAGGTGGACAGCTCCCTTGTGGCGAATGACGTACTCCGTCCAGTAGATCACGGATTCCCTGGCAGTCATCGGACGATCGCGGTAGAGAGAGGAGAATGTCTTGACCTTCTCACCGTACTGGGGATTGGACAAAATCTCAAGGATTCCCTCGCGGAAAGGCTTCTCCTCGAGAGCAAGAAGATTTTGAGTGAGACCGAAGCCCTTCTTCACCATTGCATCAGCGTTTCCGGGTTGATCCCCAAATACTGGCAAGGAAAGCATTGGCTTTCCGTGATATTGGGCCTCGGTAATCCCACCTTTTCCAGCGTGGTTGATAAAAAGTTTAATCTTAGGGTGAGCCAGGATGTCGTCCTGTGGCAGCCACTTGGAGTACAGGATGTTGTCCGACTTTCCGGGGGTCTTCTCCAGATCCTCCCACTTCCAGATGACCCTTTGCTTGAGTTTTGAGAGCACGTTGAACATCTTGACAACGGTGTCTGGTTTCAGATGGGTTCCCTTGACATTGGACCCCAGGGAGAGGAGAATGGCTCCATCCGTGGCATTGCCGAGAAAATCTGCCATGTTTTGGGGCAGAGGGTCTGGCTTGTCCTTGATTTGAATGCCTCCGATCTCAACTGCAGCAGGAACATTCGGTCGAATGGGTCCTTCGCTGGGAGCGTGGGAAGCGAAAAAGACCAAGGAAACATTCTTGATAAGGTCGGAGTACTCCGGCATAGTGGAATCATCGCCAAAGACTTCCCTGGAAAACAAAGTTTTTATTCATTTTATTAAGATTTTTTATGCGCATAACACAACTTACTTGTATAATCTTCTGTTACGCCTTTCGGTTAGGTAATTGAAACCCACGAAGAAGACGCTTTTGGTGTAGCCAGTCAATCGCTGCCAGAAGGTCAAACCCTTTCCCTTCTCCAACGAGTCGTCGAAAGCAGGCACGTAGGAGACTTCGAGGGGATTACCAATAAGGGAGTTCAACAATTGGTTGGGTGGCATTGTGGCAACTGCAATGATTGGAGCGTTCACTTTCTTTGCGAATCCCATCTGGAAGTCGTTCATAAAATATCCAGAAAGGACCGCATCGAACTTGTTGTCCTTGTTAAGATATAGATCTCGAACACGATAATTTTTCAAGGCTTCCGCCATTTTTTCAAACATAAAATCCATCTGTCCCGTCATTCGGATCAAGTTGACTAACAAGTTTTTATTATCGGTCTTGGACATTTCCCCGATCACATCGCTCATCATTTTCTCCTCCTCTTTAGTGAGGGGCACCCGTACCACGGTGATGTTCTTGTGAGTCACTACTGGTTTTAGCACTGTTACCACCGTCACATTGTGTCCCTTCTCGGCCAGAACTTTGGCCACCGACATCTGGATGATCAAATGCGAGGGACTCAAGCTCGGAAAGATTCCCAGTAAATTTGCTCCCTGGGAGCTATTTATAAAGCCAACAAGGGCTATCGCCACTAGCAAAAATGTACTCGTTTTTCCAACCATTTTGGTGGATCGGTTACGGCAGACTGTTAAAGTAAACCGGCTGGCAAAGCCTTATATATAGAATAGTATTCTCGCTGACTTTAGATGACACATCAGTTTGCCTCAGATAAGAAGCCCGCTCGATTCGGATTGTTGTACTAGGTTGAAAAAAAAAACATTTCACAACCAGTTTCAGATATTTCACCAATTGATTGGTTGTGGCTTCCCTATCTCATTAAACATTTGGCTAATCGTTGGGTCTTATAGAGGATAGAACTCCCATCCTATCTTATCAACATAATATTTACGTGTGATAAGAGTCTGCCAAAATGTTTGCTTGTCTAAAATAGAAATACAGTAGAAACCAAATAAATGTAAACCTTCAGTTTGGTAAACAATTGTTGTTTGTTGATTTAAAATTACCTCATCTGATAATTCTATCTTTCATTAATAATGAACAGTTGCTGCAGCTTATAATAATTACATACTCTGCTCACATTCAGCAAATTAAAGCATGTATTAGTCACAATTTTAATAGCACAGTGCCTTCATGGCTGAGCTCAACACTAGATGGATTTTGTAATTTGGGCAAAGAAAATGTTTTAAATTAAATGAAAACACGAAAACGGCTCCGCCATCCGCCGGCATCTCCAGGATGTTCCCATGTAGTTTCAGGCAAATGAAACAAAAGCAAAAACAAAGGCATAAGAGTCGCTTCTCAGGTGGCAACATGTTGGATTGTTTTTCCTTTGCTTACCTCACCTCCTCTTGAGTAATTTACCTCACCCGAAAACTGGTTTTCATCCCCTTCCATTCAACAATTTTTAAAGCAAGATTTTAATTTAATTCCACTACGTTTTGTCCCATTTGCATTTACGTTTGTGCGGCTTGTGTTTTTTGTTAACCAGTTTGCAATTGGCCCGATCATGGAAATCTCTTTCTCTCTCTCAACCCAATTCATCTAATGGCCAGTGACACTGATTTAAATTAAATATTTGGACGACCCGACTCTGTCACTCTGTCAGCGCGGATTCAAATAAACATAAACTGTTTTCCACAAAGTGGCTGTTGGTCTCATTTTCCCGCTTTTTTGGGGATTTTCGTATTTTAATTTAAAAATAACTGGCTTAAGCGCAATTGATTTTTTAACCAACAGCGGACGACAGGCTAAGTGGATTAGTTTGAATATCAGTTTGATGGAATAGAGTAGGACCTATAATTAATACAATCGTATTTTAATAAAACTAGTTTTATATAAACTGGGTTGAACATTCAATTCATTGGTTTTAACTGAGAGATTACTTAGAACGATACTGCAAAGGCTGCATTTATTTTAAGAAAAACTATGTATTGTTTGTATTAGTTTTTATATAGATATTTTGAATACAGAAAAACCAAGTAATAAAGTAGAGAATACCCTTTCAATTTCCCAACAATATTCTTGAAAAAACCATAAAATAAATTTAAAAAGAAACACAAAAATCATTTAGAAACACTGTTTTGCAAATCAGTCAAGTCACTGTCAGCGTTGGGATTTTTTTTTGGGTCTTGCTTTTATGTGTGAGCTGGTCTGAACATTGATTTTCCATTTCGAGATCAGGCTGTCATTCAAGGCATTGCGAGGTCATGACTCCTGACTGATGACAGTACTGCGAACTCGACATGCGTTTAGCACGATGATGGCAACGTAAACTCTTTTTCGATGCTAGATAAGGCTGAGAATAAAATATTTAAATAAAATCGAATGATATGCCACAAACAATAACATTTTTAATACTAAAATGTGTATTCCCATAATTATCTTGGGTGTAGCAAAATAAATAGATTGTAAGATTGTTTTATTTCATTCTTAATATAGTTTATTTTTAGTTTTTAAGCACTACTCCTTCTAAGGTTTTGCAGTAATTAAATGAAGAATCAAGGAAGGTGGTTCACGGGTGATGTGTTTCCTCCGAAAGAACTGCCAAAGGCAGCAGTCGTCTTGTCCAATGAAATCTGATTGCTGGCAGTTTGGGAAAAATCTAGTGGATGGGGTGGAAAAGCGGGTGTGCGTGAATGGCAGGCGGTTTTTCACACAGCCTGCCGAATCATTGCCAAATTGCATTGACATATTGTTGCTATCGGCCATTGCGAGAGTTCTTGGGACCATGCGACTGTCAAAATGTCGCGTCACGATTAACGATCCGGCTAAAGGCAATCGAAATTGCCAATCCATATCCCCATATCCTCCCTGCTTTCAGCCGGAAAATGTTGTCTATAAAGCCTTTGGCTTTTCCCTTGGCATTAAGTGGACTTATAATTAAACGATTTGCTCATTTAATCGCGTTCGTTGAACGAGCATGGAAGTGAATTTCCCTTCGCTGCAGGACATTTTGGATAATGTCCTGTGTGTACGTGTGTGTTATGTCACTGTTGTTGCAGTTAATGTTGTTGCCGTTACAGAATCAGCAGACTGAACACATTATATATTAAACATTCAGCATAAAAAGATTTAATATTAAAGAAGGCTTTAATTGCAAACGATTTTGAAGAAGAACATAAATACTTTTTGGGATAAAAGAACTTCCTTTTCCTTTAACTTCACAAGTTGCGGGTAAAAAAAATTCCGACCCAAGTTCTGGGTTAAGGACCGCAATTTATCTGTAACACCTTTTGACAGCGTTTTTCCCGAAACTAATTGTCTGGAAATCGAATAGTAAAACGAACCACATACTAACCAGAAATCGAAAGAAAAACACTTACCAATTATCTGCCAAAAAAATACGGCTGAAAGGAAGAGAACTTTTTAAATGTCAACTCGGATGTTCGACCTTCCAGCAGGGGTAATGCCCCACATGGGTGCCATTTAAGCAATCTGTCATATGCCCGCCAAGATGCTTTACTTTTCCCCCACCTCGATTTGAAGCGCTTCCTGCTCCTTTTTTTATGACAGGACACGACAAGCGAGCGACAATAACAACGATAACAAGAACAGGAAAAATAAATGGGCAACCGAAGGCGTGCGAAAATGTTGGAAAACCCTATAGTCTGCACTCCCAAAAAAAATCTTTTTAAGTTGTAATGATCAAAGGTTATAAGCTGTAAATAACTGTACATATTAACAAAATTCGTTAGTTTCATTAAATTTAATAAGTTTTTAAGGAGATTCTGAAAGCAATGTAGTCCGATAATAATATCACATATTTTATACCTGAACATAGACTAATTTTTCTGAGTGCTTTAGAAAGCCTAACGGACGCCTCGGAAAGTGGATGAGACGCTGCCATGTAGTTATAAAAATTGTTATCTTAAAGCTTCTGTCAGTTAGCTGGCATTCCCCTGCAGGTTCCTTCGCTGTCTGCTGATGAAAACGAAGTTGACAATACGAATGAGTTTCTTATAACAACACCCGGAAAAGAAAAGGAAAAGCGAGTGAAGGGGCGGATACAATATGAAGCGGCAGCAAAAAGTGCGAACGTGCCGCCAAAAAAAATAAATAGTAGGGGTGGCAGTCGGGAAAACTGGAGAATCGAAATGGAAACTTTTGGCTCTTGGCTCAGATTGAGCTCTTTGGTTTGCCCAAGACTCTGAATCCCAAAAAAAAAATGACATAAACGAAATAGCTTTTTGTCTACATTTCATTTTCTCGCAATCTTTCGTGCAAAGTTTATTAAATCTAAATTAATTTATATAGATTTTCCACATGCAATGTTTTTATGAGTTCACCGATTAAATAAGGAAAATGGCATTATTTACTCTATTCTTTCTGTTCATATGTAAAAACCCAAATTATAAAACTAGACACACGTTGTGCTCCGTTTTTTTTATTTTTTGATTTAGCCATTTGAGATTGATTTTGTGGCGAATCTTCTCCGTGCATTAAGCCCAAAATAGCATCACGTTTTAAATTGCTGCTTATCAAAACATGTCCCGAACTGTAATCTGTTTTGGCACTGGCGCACTGGCAGCCAAACTGCCACCCGCTTTTCGCCAACCACCTGGCCTTCTTACCACCTGGCCCGGCTAAGATGTTTTCCAGAGGAGGCCACGACCAAGATCAAGAAACGGGAAAAGCAGTAACCTCGGGTGAACAGCGGCGGCGAAGCGTAAAATGAGTGAAAGCCAGTTGGAGGTAAAAACGCGACCGGCAACGCAAACTGACACATCATTTATATGTAGGATATGCACTTCAATCCAAGGTCAAGAGTTCTTAAAGTAAGTTTTAAAATAAGGAGGGTAATACTAAAAATTTTAATTTAATTTCTTATAATAAACGGAGTTTAAAAGAATTCAAAAATGCTTTTCCCATTTTACTAGGTAACACTTATATTATAAATAAAATCTAAATCATAACTTTTTTTCCAAGTTAAACAAAAGAATCAATCGGAGTGCTCAGTGTAGCTTTTAAAAGGCGAGAGCATATGTAAATTGAAACGAAAGGACCGCTTTCCGAACGAGGCCGAGTGTGAGATGGATTTGGACTTGGAGTACGAGCCAGGACGAAGGCTCTCTTATCAGCGGTGAGCATAAAAAATGTACATTAGCACGAATGACTAAGCGAGTTGGAGGGGAATCCTTGGATCCGTGTTCGTATACGTATCCGTATCCGTATCGTTCAGGGTTAGTCAAGTGCCTGGCGGACACGAACACGGCCACATAAATCCGGAAAACGCCGGAGTCCCAAACACTCCGGGCAATCTCTGTTCATTCGCATCCAAAGCAATCTGTCATCCGTGCCCGAAATGTCGGCGGTTCCATAAATTCGTGACACTTTTTTAGCGAATTTATTACTCAAAATAAATCGCAAGCTGTCTTGCGCTGAACGAACACACGCTGATATGCTCATTTGGTATTCATTAGAGCCAAGAGCGGCGTTACCTTTTGCCCAAGTTAATTAATTGAGCGCAAAGATTGGTTGGCTTTGCCACTGTCATTGCAACACGAGCACTCCTGTGCTCCAAATGAATTGGTTTTCCTTCATCAGTCTCTCCTTTTGCCACCCACTTCCTGTGCTCCTTTCCCTTTCGCCTCCACTTTGGTTGGGTGGTGTTGATTTTTGAAATTGTTTGGCACTTGAGTGGCAAAGTGCTCCCGATTGGCTGTGGCTGCCAATTCTCCGCCAAAGAATCCCAATGGGTCAGGCAAATGGCTGGCATTGCTGAGGTCAAGAGGCAAAGGGGCCACAGCCGATGGAACGATGGAGCGATTCACAGACAAAACATCCGGAATCATTCGAAAACTAGGTGATAGCGGAAAGTGTGCAGTGCGCTACAAAACAAAACTTTTCACTACTGTTCCACGAGATTGGCACCTCGTCTACCGCGTTGTAACTTAGTTGGAGGCCAACAAAAATTAGACTTTGAAATACTCGAAAATTCATTTGCACATGAAAACTTAAAAATACAAAGCCAAAAAACGGTTGTAAACAGGGCCGGCGGAAGGTGTATACCGGGTGTTGAGCACTCCACACGCCAAATCTTAGCGGGTGTGGAATTCAACACCCCAAAATGCTTGACTTGTAGAAAAAAATTTATTCACATCCATTATTATCAGTTGAATGTATGATTCAAAACTGTTTCTCCGGCCCTGCATATAGAGTATATCGAAGAAAAACGAAGAGAAATCCCGCCTTTACCACGGCCCAATTAAATCAGTTTCTATTTAAATAGATAGATAGTAACTCTCCCAAATACTTCCCAGGTTAAGCATTTTCCAACTTAATGTAAAAACTACTTAATTAATTATGAGATTATCATAAATAAATCTTTTCAGATTGGTACTTACTCAGTTAGCTCCTTGATCTGCACTGCAATCTTTCGTCTTCTTGAAGTAAGATAATCACCGCAACCACTTTATTCGCAACATTAACACTTAACACTTTACCCTGAAATTAAAAAAAAAAAAAAAAATAATAATAAATAATTTGTTACAAATAATAATAGTTAGAATTATTTTGTTAGTAAAAAAGGTATTTACCTCTTTGGGTTTTTTATTCACTGCATCTTGAAGTTCACTCCAAGCAGAACGGATCAGTCATCACTGTAATGAAAAGAAGCATTCCAAAATATTAGTTAAATTATTTTATACAAATCGGTTGTTTAAAAAATACATACCCCAATGAGGTGATGCACTGCATCCTGGAGTGGAGTTCAATAAGATAACCACTGCAACCACTTTATCCGCAACATGTACATTTACACTTTACCCTGAAATTAAATAAGAAAAAAAAATAATAATAAATAATTTGTAACAAATAATAATAGTTAGAATAAATTTGTTAGTAAAAAAGGTATTAGTAAAAAAGGTATTTACCTCTTTGGGTTATTGATTCACTACATCTTGAAGTACACTCCAAGTAGAAAGGTATAGTCATCACCTGTAATGAAAAGAAGCATTCCAAAATATTAGTTAAATTATTTTACACAAATCGGTTGTTTAAAAAATACATACCCCACTGAGGTGATGCACTGCATCCTGGAGTGGAGTTCAATAGAAGATCACGCCATTCATAATTGATCCTGCAGCCTGTTGTCCAGTCCATTTATGTGGTGTCAGTATACTATATATTTCCGGTAACAGCATTCTTACAACTATTACTATATATATACTACATATATTTATATTATATGTCGCTACTTGTTTACAATTATTAATTGTGTTTGATTTTCATGTACTTCAAGTTCAATATTTGATAAAATTTACCTTTTAAATTTCTTTCATGTTCTTGAAAACTTTCAGATCTTTATCTGTTTCTTTTAGTTTCTTTATCAAAATATTTATGATTTTTTAAAATATATAACTTAATTATTTATTGTCTAAAGGATGTACTCACTGCGTAATAACTTTGGTGCAGTGCATCCTGATGTCGAACTTCAAGTTACAAGTTGGATGGTGTCACCAATTATTTTCTGCAATCAGCCAAATACACAACCAAAAACCTGAAAAAAAAATATAAAAAAATTGAATTAATTAACTGCATTTTTTTACAAAAGCCACGTCATCACATAATTAAAAAAACTGCAACTCACCTTTTCAGGTTTGGATGCCCTGCATCCTGGAGTCCACTACATGCAGGAAGGGATCGGGCACCTTTAAGTTCATGCCAAGTCAGGTCATGATGCAGTGCATCCTAGGAGGAGTCGACCCATGGTGCACTGCATCCGGGAGTGGACTCCAGTAGGTGGAGTCGACCCAAGATGCACTGCATCCGGGAGTGGATTCCAGTAGGAGGAGTCGACCCATGGTGCACTGCATCCGGGAGTGGACTCCAGTAGGAGGAGTCGACCCATGATGCACTGCATCCGGGAGTGGACTCCAGTAGGAGGAGTCGACCCATGATGCACTGCATCCGGGAGTGGACTCCAGTAGGAGGAGTTGGCCAGATACTCTCTCCCACTCTGGAACCACGTCACTAACACACACGCACACACACACACTTCCAGAGACCGGAAAAAGTTTCTTAGAGAAACTGCCGGTCATCCCGGAGAACTGAGAAATTGGCCAAAATCAAGGGGTATCCCACTACGAATCAGCCAGAACCACTTGGGAATTATAGGTGCGAGAAAACGAAAAAAATAATTAATTATCATTGTCGCTGACGTGGCCATATTAATTTAATTAACATTTAGTTAACATTACATTTACATTATATTAAATTAACATTATTTTAACATTAAATTAACATTACATTAATATTAAATGGATTTTAATTAACATTTTACATTTAAAATAGTTTTTTTTACCTGTTGCATTTTGATTGATTGGTGTTGTTGTTTTATTAAAATTTATACTTACCTATATTATGTCAACAGTGTTTCCCTTATCATGATTTGGAATGATTTTGAAACAAAAGGGGCGGGGGGGGATATTGAAAATTTGTGAGGTCATCACCCCACTCAAAACGGTTTCTCCGGCCCTGGTTGTAAACATTTTGAGTTTCTTTTATTAATTTCTAAAACTACATTTTTGAAATAAAAACCGCAGTTGAAAATAGTCATTTAAACCCTTTAGATTAACCTCTGGTTACAAAACTTAATCAACGATTTGTTTCTAAATTTAGATTGTCTTAAGCAGAAGCAGTTATTAAGAAAAATTTTATTAGAAAATTTTTATAAGCTTGTAAACGTTTAGAAATGTTTGATCAGTCTTCCCAAATGTTATGATTTTATATATATGTAGGTAGTTTAAAAATACCCCAAATCTATATAAATACCTCCGCCAGTTGCAACAATTGCCCCGAAATGAAAGTGGCAGCCGTCACAAATCCGATCTTTATGTCCAATAACTCGGACAAACACAAGCCCTGGCGATTCTCAGCGATTTTCTGCAGCTCCAGCAATGCTTTCCGTTTCCGCTTTTCGCTCCTTGTGCGCATTACGTATACGCAGCGTGGCCGAGTGGTCGAGTCATAAGTTAGGTCATCATTATGGATAAACGCAATGTATGTGGGTTTTATGTACTTAACACTTCAGCTCGCCGCCCTGCGAAGCAATGACACTGAGTCCAGGCTTTTTAGGCGATTGAGGGGAGGGGGCGTTGTGTGTGGGGTGAGTGGGCCGTTGAGAAAGGGGGCGGGGTCGGAGAAAGGCGACATCGCATCAACGACGAGGTCGAGCAGATGAGCAATTTATCTCGCAGCTGTTTACTGTTTCACCCCAGCCAGCCGCTCACGCTTGGCTTAAGCCACTTATGCCCATGCCAACAAATGCGGGTGTGTGCGAGATTTATGTGTGTGTGCTGTAAATACATAAACACATCAAAACCTCAAATAAAAAAAAACATATGAAGGGAGGACGTCTCCGAAGACTGGCACCCCAAATACCCTAAAAATGGAAGCAATCTTGACAGCATTTGTATACCTTTTTTAATTATTAAAGATTTTTAAAGAATATTTAAGATGTATTAAATATTATCATTTAATAAATCTATTTAAATTTATTGTATAAATAAGGGATACAAACTGAATTCAAAACCTTAATCTTAAAGTAATGAGTATTTCTTTAAAAAAGCACTAGGCAAAAGAACAAATTCGTAGAAGGACTACGGAGTGTCCTTGCGGCAAACGCACGTATTAAATGAGCAAAAATGTGAGGGAGGCTGCCGGAGGGCGTCTCTTCCAACGAAAGTGAAATTAAAAACTAAGTTCTGCACTGTAAAAAAGCAGTATTGAAAGCGGGACACAAAAAGTATTGCATAGAGCCCTCCCATCCTCGACCGTTTGCATTTCATTTGCAAAGAAAAAGCATAAAAAGGCAGTTGCGAGGGCTAACTGATGTTTTGCAAACATCTTATAAACAAATATATTTACAATGGAATATTTTATACAATATAATACACAATGCTTTCGAAATATATTAAATATTTATAATTTTGCTTTCTCCTTGGGAGCAACTGATTAATTGACCCTCGCTGCGATAGCCAGTTTTTGCAGTCACTGCTCATGTCCTTCGCAAACGCATGGCTCTGAATCAGTTTGTGTGTGAGTGTGTGTATGTGTGTGTGCCTGTGTGGGTGATATCTTAAGCATGCTAAATGCAACAACCTAGCCAGCCGCCCACCGTCCACCGCCCCCTGCCACGACCCCCTGCCTTCCGATGGGGCCAAGAGTCTTCTTTATGCGAATCGCACGCTCGTTGACGTCTGTGTGTTTGTTTGTTTGTTTGGCTGTTTGTTCTGTTGCCTGTTTTTAGCCATTGCTTTTATAAGCGCAAAGTGCTCTTCATTATGCGCATCAAGTGAAAGGATAAGTGCAGTGCACACTCGGTGCCATAGAAATATTTATACATATGTGCAATATGGTTTTTATGAACTTCAATTGCGAGGAAAAATACCAATGGAAAAATGCGCCCAAAATGCACTGCACAATGAACATTTAATCGGTTATGAGGAACGGTGTGGCTTCAGCAAACAATTCCAATCAAAACGTGAAATGTTGGCTTTTAATTTCCAAGAAACTAGCGGAAAAGCCTTTGAGGCTAAAACATCTTGCTAATGGGTAGAATGTTCAGCAGCTGCAACCGCGTTTTAAGTGGTTTTTTAAATGAAATTGGTTTTAGTTTGTGTTGTGCGCTAATTAAAATGATGAACTCATTAACATTATTAAATGGAATTGAGTAAGCAAAGTCTGAAGTATATTATTATCACCTCGTATTGATCTTAAACATTTCCATAAAGCCATACTTTATAGCAGATTCCGCTTCGATTTGAGACAAATCTCTAGACATTTTCGGAAACCGAAACCGGATGCCAACTGCTGTGCAATTTCGCTTTCTGTTGGTTGGCAAGCCAACATGCATTTGCCCCCGCATACCATTTGAGATCTAGACGACGTCCAACACCTTAATTAAGCCAAATAGCACTAACAAATCCATAAATAATGAGACCTGCCTCACACATACACACCTGAGAGGCTGAAGGCCGCGGCGCAGTCTTCAATTACGATTAGTTTGCGGCGGGTGGAGGCAATTTCAGAGGGGTGAGGGGGAGGCAATTCGAGAGGGGGGAGGAGGAGGCAATTCGAAAGGGGGGAGGAGGAGGCAATTTGAGAGGGGGAGGCCATTCCTCGGGAGCAGCATAATTGAATCGCAGGACACTCGCAGCACGCAGAGCTCAGCCTTGACTGAGTTATGAGGCCCAGCTCACTCGATTAGAGGGCGGAGAACGTTTAATTGAAATTCAAGATACGAACTGCACCGAAGACAATGCTAAAATACTGCACTACAAGAAAGTAAGTGTCATAATTAAAACAACTAAAACAATATATATTTAATAATAATAATAAATGCAAGTAAAATTGTATTTGCTATGCAAATAAAGAGCAAAGTGTTCTTGAATAATAAAATAATGATGAGCAACAAATGCTTAATGTATTCATAGTTTTATTTAGATCTCTTAAAAATTAAATGATTAAAAGTTATTCAATATAAGATAGTTGCTGAAAATGTTTTACCATTATTTAAATTTTTCCCAGTGTTGAAAATTTAATTTTTATGGCCTCTGTGTGTTTGTGCGCTTGTGGGCGTGTCAATAATCCGACTTTGGATCGCCGCCCGTGCTTCGAACCCGATTACCACACATCGCTGTTGTTGCCGCATAAAATCGGCCAACAAAGGGACAAGGACCGAGAAGTGAGGACCGAGGACCGAGTTAAGAGGACCAAGAACCGAGGAGCAAGTCAAGTGACAGGCTTGTAAAAGTCGTTGGGTCGTTGGCAAATCGATTGCTCGATTGCTCGTCAGGGTCAACTGGCAGGCCTGACAGCGCTTAGCTTATGGCCCCCGAAATCGTCCGGCATTCCGACTTGCTTCGATTTTCTATGGCTTTAAATTATGTTAGACATGGCAGCGGGCCTAAAAAGGGCTGAAAGCGACAGCCGCAAAAAACCAAAAAAAAAAACAACAAAAAGGAGGCGATTTGAATTTTGCACACAATTTTCTCAGCTGACAAAGTCGATGTCGTTGTCGTTTTTGGGGTTAACAAAGTCCTTTGCCT